TGGTCTTAGCATGAGTAGATTCAGCTGCTTTAGTAATGTGATGGCCCGAGCTAAGGAGCATGCAATAAATTGCATGCAAGTTGCTTAGTGGGTGACTGCTGCTACTTGTGTATCCACAGCAATGCGATGCAGACTCTAGACTCGAGGTCTTTACTGCCAGCATTGCTATTGCACTCGGCGTACTGCAGGTACCCTCATACCGTTTTCGACTAAATGACATGCTTTGAATGATCCTGACTTAGCAGCAGGTGTTGTCCAATCAGAGAAAAAATGAAAATGAGGGAAACCAGTGAAGTCTCACAACAGGTACCGGAAGCCTGTGGTCAACCTAAACGTTTTTATTTCCTGTCAAACTTGCAAAAATCAGTACACTTGTGCTATTTTCTCCAATATCTGCTAACATGATGCTGATTGAAAAGAGTAGGAATTGACATCAAGTGCATTCTGCTACCCGTCTAGGAGTGGTTGCGGTTGGGTTCTTCACGAAAGTAGCTAAGGCCATGCCCCACGGCTAAACAGGACACTAATGCAACCGCCCAAGTTTATTTTGGTCGTTGGATTTGCTAAAACGGAGTGCCCAAAGCGGTGCGTGGCGATCAAATGGCTAATTTCCAAAGCCGACTCTTAAATGGCGAATGCAAAATCCTTAAAATCTGAAAGATTCGCACGCGACCTAAATATTTGAAAGGTAATTGTCAGTTGGAAAGTAGGATTTGTACACCGATTATTTTGTTTAAGACGCTTACTTAGAAATCACGGCTAGAAGCCAATATATAGGCCTTGCATGATTCACATTGTAATGTTCGGTTAGTTGTCGTCGCAGCTATTTGATAAGATTTTGTTTTATTAGCCTTAATTAAAACCATTTTTCCCATTACTGTGTTTCAGGTTACTTTGAATTGCTCTCTGATGCACTATCGGGAGATAATTCCCGACAGCAATTTTAAGAGCAATTATGTGTTACCAATAATTTGTAGACAACACACCGTTTATTGCTATAGCTAAAAAGTTACGAAGTGGCATTGTTTTGACAAGCACTTAAAATTGCAGGTAGTGGCGATTTAGGTCATCTCATTGCACTTTGATCTGCAACTCAGCCTAATCTGCAGAATTTTAATTTTTTTGCATTTTAAGTCCGTAGTAGGGGTGTGGGTGCCTGTAAAACCTGCATTTTATTGCGGCTTCTAAATTAAGCTTCGATGTACATATTTTTGCATCCCATTCTATTCCATAAACAGACCAGAGTAGTCTTCCGTCAAGTAGATTCGGAGCATTGGATTTTGCAGTGGATCGTGCAGCACCGCTTCAAGAACTTACGAGCGACAAAGAACACCGAGTAGGTGTGATGTCAACACTACTGGGAAACCGACACTTACCTTTTCTAGTCTTCTGTCTCCACCGACGCCTACCCGCCCGACTCTGTGTTCCCTATTTACAAGTGCCTTAACTGTTAGTAGGTAAAACAATCATTTCTATGTATATGCTATATTGCTATTGCGAACTTCACCTCTTTGCAACCATGTCTTTCGTGGTTCATACGACTC